GAAGAAAGAGTTTTTCATTTACAATCGCCTCGAAAAGTTTCGGAATGCAAGAGATAATAGCTATACCACGATAATTACGTACGTCGGATTTTTTACCCGATTTAAAGATAGGCACTAAAAACGAGTTTTTCCATATTTTAGGGAAGTTTCCGGATTCCAGTGACATATTGAAAATCCAAAATAATGGAGCAGTAAGTTCAATTGCTAAAGTTTTCATAAAAACTGGCGGAACACCGTCAGGGCCAGGACCTTTAGATGCATCTAAATTGTTTAAACCCTTTAAGATATCATGAACCTTGATTTGACTTACGCTGATGTCACTTGAAAATTCTGGATATGATTCAAAATATTCACGGTCACGGTCCTCTTCTGAAAACGTAGTATATATTTCTTGGAAGAAATTTGCAAACAAATTGCATATATCATCCGAGTTCTCACCTATCCTATCGTCCAAATGCATCTTTGAGGGAAAATTATCAGATTTTAATTTGGTTTTCACATAATTGAAGAAGTTTCTAGGACAAGATTTTATTTCAAGTTCAGTTTTTAAATTATACTCCTCAAATGCCATATTCACGGCCAAATTTAACTGATCGCAAATGTCTAAATAGTATGCCAAAGTTTCTTCACTATTATATTTTTTATAAAATTTGTGCGCTTTTTGCTTTCGATTTTTTAAATTTTTCAGTTCCCTGTTGTACCAAACTGGATGTTTTGCATGACTCTGACGTCTTCTTCTTTTAGTTGGCACTTCTTCAAGAATTATTTCAAGCAACACATTGTAGAATACGTCAACTGCACATTCAACATTTCCTGCAGTTCTTAATATTGCTTGCCAATCGACAATGTTCAATCTATTTCTAATGTTATCATAATTTGCTGAATTGTAATCAAAGATTTCATCAAATTCGCAGTCGTTGGTTCTTTCATTTATGTGAACGAATAGAGAATACTCTATTGCTGTGTGAAACATTTCATTTCTCCATATGGGACTTAACGATTCAGTCACACAGAAATCTTCATAAGTATTTGTTAATAAAAGGTCTAAATAACAATTTTGTTGATTTTTCACATGGTTAATTTGATAGAGTCCTAAATTTGCAATTTTGTCAAAAATGAAATGGAGTGTTTCATTTTCCCCAACGACTGGAAGTAAGATGCTTTCATTGTCCATATCAGAAATAAAGTCAACATTGCGTTGGTTAAAGTCCCCATATATATGAACTTTTACTTCAGGGGGTAAACTAGACAAAATTTCTTCCGCTTTTCCAAAAAACTTATCATACGTGTCCTTATGAGCATTGTTTGGAGGAAAGTATACCGAAGCAAAGACATGTGTTTCGTCTGCTACCTGCGCTTTTACCCATACATGTTCGAATTCTTTAAATTTAGCAGCCATAATAATCTCTGAATTCAATTGGGTCGAAATCGCTATTAATACTCCACCTCCCGATTTTTTTCCAGACCATTGAAAATTGCGGTCGTCTCTATAAACGTTATAATTGTTACCAAAAACTTCTTCACTTCTCACACTATCATCCCAACTTGTTTCATTAGCCATTATGACAGAGTAAGCAGAACTTAATATATTTTTGTTAATTTCATTCATTTTACCGGCGCTTCTCATGCGGTTAACATTTTGGCAATATACCAAAATTTCTGTACTGGTCTGAAGATTAGGTGAAGAAGTTGATGGTAACCTGTCATTCATAAAACTATTATCAAAATTATTTACCCCTGATATTGCCTTGAAGTATAAAAAAAACAATATTAATTAAAAAAAAGAAGAACGTCAGTAATCTCTATAATTCTTCTGTTTTCGCTCGCATAGAGATAGCTAAAGTTTGATTGTGTCAGTAATTTGTTTTCATCGGGAAAATTTTCCGCTATGAAGTTTTTTTTCCCGATGAAAACATTTTGCGTATACGTATACGTGACGTAGTGTGCGTACGATAAACGTCAGCAATCTCTATATACATGGGGTGACACTGTCGAATCTTGGTCGAAATACATGGAATGGTGACAGTTCTAGAACAAAAAAGTTGAAATCACTCATAACTTTTCATAAAGGTTAATGTACCATTCAAAACTTTTCCAAATGTTTGTAAAATTCATCGGTTGCACCCGTAGAATATACGTTTACCCTCAAATCAAAAAATAAATTGCTCTTGTAAAAAGCAAATAGTGCTCGAAATAAAATCATCCATTATGCTTTTCTGTTCTGCTTTCATTCAATGTAAGCATTAGACATTTCAAGAAATTGCGTTTGTTGTTTTTCTTGCCTGCTGTCCTCTGTCGCCATATTGTCATTATGAAAATGCCATTAGCCTTGGAATAAAATCCAAGAAATTTCAATAAAATAATGGTTAAATTATAGATCCGATATGATTTCCAGTGTGCATTGGTATGAATTTGTTTATTGAGATCTATTTTCTGTAAAATTAAGATGATTCCATCAAATTCATTTGATTTCTGAAACAATCTTTTTTGTTAACTTGAATTATTTTGGAGGCGCATTTATTTAACGCTCATATTATCTTCTAAACTTCTTAAAAGTCATATATTTTCTTTAAGATTTTCACTAATGTCGCCATGAAACAAAATTGATTGCATGGTGATTTTGACACCAACACTCAAACCTATTTTTACAGCTAAAGATTTCCATATGGAAAAAAAAATCAGCAGAACAGAACAACAACAAGCTAATTTATGGCGGTTGCTTTGAAGCAATAAAAATGAAATTGGATTTATAACTGATTTTCACCAAAGCGTAATAAAACTGCTTGAATACAATATTACTCTTAAAGAGGCTATGAGAACCTTTTGTAGAGTATGGGGCTTTCTTACAAAAGGTTTTAAGACAGCTTTATTGTGATTCTCAAACATGCTTTATAAACCTTATCAAGAGTGGTCCACTAAGCTGAAAGGCGATCTTATAGCGGTTGTCAAAAAGTTGTGCTGGAGCTATTAATTTTATTGACGGTTCTATAAAATTGATCTCAAAAACCAATAAAACAAGAAATGCTACTTGGGAAGACACGTGTAACCGTTTTCAATGCGGGTTGTACTTAAGAAATCGTTACGATTACGTTACAGAAATGCTTACGATTTTAGAGACCCAGGTTGAGGTAAGGTTGAGGTTCAGTTATGGATGTGTGCCGTTCAGTATCACCGTCGTTGGTAGCACCAAATGAATCATCACTTCCAGCGAGAATATCAGAGATGTATCCGGTTTGCTAACGGTTGCTAGTTCCGTATCGGCTGCCAGGTCATTCTCAGACGCATCTGGATTGTCAGGTAGTCCACAAATCGGATAGAAAAACTTACCAATTTGATTGACTGACAACTAATTTGAAATCATTTTCATCTTATCACTCGAAAATGGCGATTTGTTTACATAAAAATGGCTCTCAAATTCGCATGATCCGACTAAAAAAAATTGTTACCAGATATCATTTGAAGCCATTGCGCAAAAAAAATATGTAAAGCTATTGTTTGAGAAGAGAAAAAAAAAACAAAAGGTTGGTGGCAATATAGTTGCCACTGTCTTAAAAAGGGTTAATCCCTCACACAACGACGAAGTTTGAAATCGCTTAAATTAAAAGCACCCATTCCATCGTTTACCCACAATCGATCCTCATTCTAATCGGATGATTAATGCTTTCCTCGGAGCGTGAAATAATTATGCACATTTACATGTTGTTAATCAATCATTTCATTTTAGTAGAAATATATCCTACTGCGTGGGATCAAACTGGATCTAGGCCAAGCGGGAAATTCCCTCTTGGATACTTTATTATCCTTATACGATTTGCTCACGTATAAAACGTCTAAGCTAGTCCAGCAGGGACACGGGTTCAAGAGCGATAGTAAAAAAAATGTTTCAACATCGAGCGGTTCGCATCAATCACGATCGAAATCAATTCGTAGAAACGGAAGCGAGTGAATTCCGTAGGGGGGCTTTTTTGTTCGGCTAAAAGTTTTCGTTTGCAAAACAAACAACAACAAGAATCAACAGTCGGTTGCTTGTGCTCAATTTATGCTGCTCGAAATGATTTGGTTTGGGAACAGCGGCGATATGATTTACGTGCAATGTATCAATTGACGGCACGTATGTTTCGCTAATGAACCACCTTTCTGTAAATAACAAGGTGATATGTATGAACCAAGTGGAAAAACGGCTTCCCAATGTTTGAATGGACAGGCAGAATCGATCGATGAAGGCACAATACTATATAGGAATCCCCCGAATAGCGCGGTGGGTGGTGCATTTCTATTTCCCGCCTGTCCTCTATCCGATTGAGCTGATTTTTTGTAGGTGATTTGAGAGGTACCGTTGTTTGCGGTTGGAGCTTTAGTCGGTATTCCTTTTCCCAATTACCAGCAGCTACTCCATGATACCGGCTAAAACTCCATCGGCAAATGACGCAAATAATTACAAACAAAACAGCAGCTCAATTCGTTGGCACCATCCACCGCGTTATTCGGGGGATTCATGTATTCCTTTTAACTATAGCCAACATACCAGAAGCTCTATATTCCATCACATCTGTGTAAGTCTGTGAAAGGAATTTTACCCAAAAGCCACCGACCAAACCGGTGGCAGATGGTAGAATCCCATTGGCAATATTTGCATATGAAAATAAGTTCATTTTAACCTGGATTACGGTATCAGCCAAAAGCATCCTTTCTCAGCCGTCTGGCGGCATCCTTTAGACGCAATTATGTGAGGGGTTGGGCCGACTTTTTTCCCCTATGGGATGGAAGATTCGACAATTTGTCACACATGAAGATGCGTAGCAATGTGTAGTATAACGAATGTGAGTTATCACACTTGCATGATGATGTCAACATTGGTTACGGATATAGAAAAGTCGTGAATCGGATAAAACAGATTCACATTCGACCAAGCTGTCCGTTGGCTGTCCTCATTATAGCAACCCATTCAGTGGAGACGCATGGTACATATTCACATCAATATATGTACAAACTTTTCTTACCTTATTGCATAGTTGTGCCACTCCAATCACACCTTGTTCATCGCAAATAGGAAAGCACAGAATGTTCCTGTCAAGCATTGGCAACAACAAATAGTAACGGTTAAAATTATGTCACCTCATTGAAAACTATTATGGTATAAGACTTTGCTTACCTCGTTTTGAATCCAGTTGACTCGTCAACACCCTTGTAGAACAGTGGATGCTGGTAGGCATTGCGTATGTTCAGCAGGTTTCCAGTTTGCGCCACATATCCAGCGATGCCTTTGCCGCTTTCTATTCGAATTTCCTTGGACGCCTGGAAGAAATAGATAGGCAAAGCAGCCGAATGAAATAGATGAGGAGTCAAGGTTAAGCAGTATTATGTTTCACATGCTGACAGCTTGCGCTGCTTTTGGTCGAACGCTGAGATTTCTGCATGTAGGTACCTACGAGCGAAGTGTGTGGAATAAGTGACGAGTAAGTCAATATTTGGCCTACAAAGGACGCTTACGTCTGTGATGTAATGGGAGAATATATTTAGGCTATTTTTGGCACATCCAGACATGAGCAATACCCAAGCATATCAATCATGTGGTGGTGGGTAAAATTTCATAGTATTTTTTTTTATCCACAAAGGAAGATATTTTTACCCTTACCCTTAAGAAGGGACAGCAAATTGTTGAAAGGACCTCTTCGGTAGCTCAGTGATAAATAAATGCCTACTTTGGATGCGGTTGGTCCACATATTATTTTTTTTTTTCAATTTCACTATGAATGAGAAAGGTCCCTCCTACACATTTAGTTTTGCTTCTTCCAGTTTATTTCACAAAATAAAGTGTGTACTACCACAAATGATTCAAAATATTTGTTACATGCGTGTCTGGGGTGCTCTGGGATTCCTAATAAAAATAGCCAAGAAATTACGATAAAATGCTATATATTCTGCGGTTCGCAATTAACAAATTTTCGAAAATAAAGCTGAAATGTTGCTTAATAACAGAATGAAAACCCGAAGTGATTGCATTTATTATAATGTTTAAAAAAATTACAAAATATACCTTAACAGGTATCCCTCCTTAATTCTGCTTGACTGTTAGACATAGTGCATACATTCGAATGTCTTTAATTTCTACGCAAACATATTACAGAGCATTTAAGAAATGCTTGAATTTCTGCTTGAAACACGGTTAGCCAGTTACCCATAGATATTGAGGTATCTATCCCTGGACCAGTTACTCCTGCTCCCACAAGATTGTTCAACCTTGAACCGTCTGTATAAAATACAACTGAACCTGGACGGATGTTTCGTCTTCAATTTTCCCACACATTACGATTTATGAACAGATAACGATTTAGAATGTCTCAAACATTGTTTCCGGTGCCGAAATTACATAATAGCATAAAGCAAAAAGTTCAAATATTTAACCAAAAGTTCTTGTTCAACGATTATTGTAAATGACTATGGTTTTACATAAATATTTCAAAAGTTTGCATTTTTTTAGGAGCTTTTTTTCTTAAAAAAAATAAGATATACTTTTTGACAAATTACAAAAAAATATCATGAATATTTTTCCCAGAATGCAAATTCGTGCATTCCGGGTTGATTTTGGAAATCCGTATCACAAAATTGCCCACCGATTCCTTTTGCCGTTCGACGACGACGGGTGTGCTTTCGCGAGAGTGACGTTTATTTGATCCGTTTCTTTGCACGGGTGTGTTTTTTTGCTAGCGTAAGTGTGCCTGCGATTTGCATTGAGTGTCGGAGATTGTAAGTAATATCTGAAGGATGCCTCGCTGGATACGCCCAAGACTGGACGGGCAGTAGCTGGTGGCAGTGAACGGTTCCTGGGGAAAGCACTAGATGCGACCCTCCTCCCAGATGCCCATGGCAACACAGGAAGTATTGGTGTTGGAAGGTAATTGCTATTAGATATTTTGCAAACAGTGACAGATAGCGGACATGAAGAACCAGTGGAGGTGTCGGGCAAAGGTGTTTATGCTAGACAAATGGTTAGCTACAAATTCGCTGTTGTCGTTGTCGTAGGCGCCGTCGTAGTCGCTGTCGTAATCGCCGTCGTACACACTTAATCTAGCTCGGTAAAATCTCCAACAGCCGATTACCTCGGCATTTACTTTTGATGATATATCTGCAAAATATCTGTTTGTTAGCTGATATCTCAGCAAAATAATATTTGTTAGCTGAGTCTCCGCAACTGAACCTCAGCAAAATAAATTGCAGAACTACTCGGCTGTTGGAATCTCGGCGAAAAAACTTAAGTGTGTAGTCGTAGGCAGTACCGTTAGTATATTTAAAATTAACCACCAACCGCTGAAAATATGAATTATCGCGTATTTCTGTTGTTCATTACATGCCAAGTAAAATTCGAGAACGTAATTTCATTTAAATAGCTTGTTCAACCAGGTCTTAAACAATCGTCACGTCGGTCATAGCTTGTTATGATTACCTGAACCATGCGTAAAGAGAAAATCGAAACATTAAACGTCGCGTGAAAATGGATTTTAATGAAGGCCTCTTTCATAGCTTTTAGTTTAAGGATTTTAAAGATCGTCGGTTGCAGTGGCTTGCTTACTGAGCAGAAAAACGCGATCCCAGATCCTTTCACATATATTTGTTAACACGACTACATGGTAATAACAGCAACTCGATGATTAAAAAGGAGCTCGTCTGCCTAGTGGCAAACGTTTTTGCTTACTGAGCAGAAGACCGTGGGTTCAATCCCAAGCTCCTTCGCGTTATATGATTGTTAGGACATCAATTCAGCTTATCGTTTACCAAAACGAACCCTGCTGCAAACCCAACCCTATTACCCAATATCCCAGTGATTCCTCGTGGAAGTGCAGAGGTGTTCTCGGCTTCCATCAAAGCGAGTGTCACGTCAACACATTCCTACCCCTTCCTTTCTTGACCTGTGTTCGGGCGCGGCCGGCGCTGGTATTGCCTAGTTTGAGATCACCAGTTTTTACACATTGAGGATGATTGCTAGTCCCAAGCATCGTCTATTGGTTCTCTGTGTAATTACAGCTGGTCTGGCAATAACAGAGTAGCAACCGTGGGCGGTCAATCATGCTCATGCTCATGCTCTACAACTTTGTCTCAGATGTCATTTCGATCAGAAGGGACGTTTTCGTGCAACAAGTTATTGAAAAATGTCAAAGACGCCATTTTGAAAAAAAAAAACTACAAGGAACAGCCCTATGGGGTTGTACGCAATGCTGACGTATGAATACGTCCCAAGTAACACATAAAACATCTTTTTGAAAAACAATTAGAACAGCTTGTTATATAAATGTATGATAAGTGATGCAGAAAACATCCCACGTTATATATGAGGTTTATAGATGTTTTCTTCATACTTCCTAGAGTCAACATTTTCCAAAATAGTTTTCTTTTGCTATAATCTTTAAATGTTATTTAAACATGCATCTTACTGTTTTAATACCACTATAAAACTTGTCGTATACAAAATCAATCTTAGTTGAATTTATAAAGTTCTTGAAGAGTTTCTGAACTTTCCAGATTGACGTAAACATTGACGACGGGTATGACGGCGCCATTGAGCCGGACTCTCTTCACGCAGTGATTGACAGTTTCTTATGAGGTATTCGGGGGTTTGTTATAAAGAAAGTTGAAAACACGTGTTTATGACATCTCATAAATTAATAACTGAAAATATGCAGGTTGTCTTATAAGTAGTTGAAATACTTTAAAATAACACTCTGGCAATTAGAGGTACACAGTTCGAAAAGTAGTGTAAATTTCTGTTCAATATGATGCACACAAATGGAGCGTCATATTTCATATAAGTTTACATTATATATCATGTAAAGTTCTAGCACAATTCATGCAATGTAGCAAATATTGTATACAAACCCCATCTTTGTAAACAATATTGTTTACAAGTTGCTCGGTTGTGTGAAATTAAATTTAAGTTTACGTGAATGAATGTTTACATCACAATTAAAATTCAGAATTTTTATCTGTGTACGCTTTGCTGCTAACAAAACATCTTTATGACGGATCGAAAGCGTGTTGAACGAGAATATAATGTTCATGCCATTGGCAAGAACATCATAGATACTTATAACAAACCTCTCATCAAGCGGAGTTGGTCTAGTTAGGAAGTAATAAGTCTGTCACGCCAAGGAAACGTACGTAAGGAAAAATGGCTCGCACCAAGCAGACCGCTCGCAAGTCCACTGGAGGTAAGGCTCCTCGCAAGCAGTTGGCAACGAAAGCCGCTCGCAAAAGCGCTCCAGCCACCGGAGGATTAAAGAAGCCTCATCGCTACCGGACAGGCACCGTCGCCCTGCGTGAGATCCGTCGTTATCAGAAATCGACCGAACTGCTGATCCGCAAGTTGCCTTTCCAGCGTCTGGTCCGTGAAATTGCCCAGAACTTCAAGACCGATCTGCGCTTCCAGAGCTCAGCTGTTATGGCTCTACAGGAAGCTAGCGAGGCTTATCTGGTCGGTCTGTTCGAAGATACCAACCTGTGTGCCATCCACGTCAAGCGTGTCGCAATCATGCCAAAGGACATCCAGCTGGCTCGTCGTATCCGTGGTGAACGCGCTTAATTTCCCCGTCGAAAATCTTACAAAACCCGCCCTTTTCAGGGCCATCAGGTTCATTTAAGAAAAGAGTTAGAGTAGATTTTTTAAAGAACTACAAAAATAGTTTTTACCATTAAGTCATGGCTATTTTTTCTCATTGATGGCGCTGTTCCATTGATAGTAAGTTAGAAAGTGGATGGAACGTTTTGGATGCATATTATGGTGAAACTAAGTCAAAAGAAATCAATTATTATCGTTCAGTTTTTTCCTAGAAATTTTTGTTGAATAGTATTTTCTTGCAGAATATGTTAAAAAGGAGGAAATTTTTATGTATTTTTTATGCATAATATGCTAAATGGGAGAGACTTCAAATGTCAATCCTCCCTCCCCCACCAAATGTTACAGAGTGTCATCAAAATACATGGAATGTTGCGATATTGAGATCGTGAGAGTGAATTTTCTCTTTCAAATTTTAATGTTTTGGCTCTCTGGGGATTGGTAGTAAAGCGGTTAAAAATGTAAGGGGAAAAAAACTTTTTTATTTAATTCTAGCTTATTTAACAAAAATTTCCAGGAAAAAACTGAACGACAAAGGCCAAAACGATTTCTTTAGATTGCCGTCAACTTTTTTTTTTGAAAGCTATGTGAAATTCACATGGATTTCATGCATTACATATGTGATATATTTTTTGAGTGTATCCCCTGTTTCCAAGTTTGGTTACAAGATTACAACTCTGGAGAGCATTTTGTGTGGTCGTTGGGAGCGTGTGGTTCTGAATATGGGTATGAGTGTGAAAAATATTACGCTATTCCATCCTCCCTATTCGCACGCGCCCGAGTATCGGAGGCGAATGCCACTTCGCCTTGTTTCGTCTACTTACTACTCTCTGACGACTGTGCTGGGGAAGCAGCATATGCATGTAGGTAATTGGTGGATTTGTTAGTTAATTCGACACTTTTGGACAATGCTGGACATTTACCAGTTTTTCAATAGTTTTTTTTTTGCTGAAAATCAACATTCGGAAGCATTGTTATCGATGCGTAGCCATATTTCTGATTGATTGGTGATAAAATTATTGAAATTGGACCAGGGGCAGCTGAGTTATTAACGTTCAATATCTTTCTTAATTTGTTACATGTTCCATTTTCGGTTTTCACAAAGTGTACCTCTATATAAAAATCAAAGACGTAGTCCTACGTCAAAAAAATGATTTTGATGCCATTCGCACTTATAGCATGCTATGGTTCATATACATATTTAAAAAAAAATTGTGTACACCAACAATTTAAATTTTTTTAAAGTATACAATTCGATTACCTATGACTTGAAACGGATAATGTGATTCGAATCATGTCGATAGGTTGTATTGTTATCGAGCAATCTTTACAAACGTACCGTGTAAATTGCGAATCAGCGGCACAAACTGTGTAAAAAAAACGTGTTCAAACAACCGCGTAGAAAAACCGTGTAAAAAAAGACTTGAGTGTATCCATCTTCCATAAAAGCAACACTATTATTTAATTTCCATTCATTACTACAATTCATCATTACAATTCTCGAATTTTTCATTTTTGTGGAGTCGGTAGACAAGTCCCAGAAAGTCGATTTTAACAAACATTTTTTTTCATTTGGCATCAACAAATAAAAATAGATTTCCGATTTCATTAACCCCCCCCCCTCCCACTCCCCACCCCCCTTGGGTGATTTCCTTATTTTCAAAAAACCCAAAGATTGCCGATTTTGAAATCACGTCCAATTCAACGTTTCAGTAATAATGGTGTACTTATAGTTGCGGTATCAAGGGTTGCGCTACAATTATGAGGAAAACCCGAATAAAGTTATTTTACATTGATAACTCTCGTAAAATATAGCAGATTCGCATATTTAAAACTTAAGTTTAGCCCAAAAATGACGGAAAACAAATAATTCTCCTTAAGTTGTTGTTCCTATAAAAAGTCCCAAAGTTAGCAACTATCACACATACTGGAACAGTTTCCATATTAATGAAGCACGAGTTTTCTAAAAATGTATATAATTTAATAGCAATTTCATATTTTTTAATCGCAAGGCGAACCCTGTGGATAAAACATATTTTTTTTTTAAATTATGGAGATTGAAAGCTACAGATTAACGCATTAAAATTGTATGTTAATCGCAAATTATAATGCATACATTCCCTTGGTTACTGGCTCAACCATTCTAATAATATTTGGAGCTTAACAATTATGGATTTGACACATAAAACCTAATCGTTTCGCTTTCAGATGGTCACCATTAGTGATTTTACGATTCGCGAGCGTTCACTCAGAGTGAGCACTCGCGAATCATACAATCGCTGATTGCGTCTCTCTAAAAGCAAAAATGGACAGGTTTTATGTCTTAAACACATAATTTTCTACCTCTTCTTGTAACCTGCAAGTACAAAGTATTATTTATAGCGAAGTGAGTGGAAGCAACCCTGTTTACAACTACTACTTTTATTAGAAAAAAAAAACCTTAATTCGAATTGGTGCTTATCGGTAATATTAGCATAGCAAGCTACTCAAATATTCATTAATGTCAAGGGGCTATTAATAAACTACGTAGACTTTTTAGGGAGGGGGGGGGGGGGTAATAAATGTCTATGGTGCATACATTTCCAAAAAAATGTATGGACGATTGTCTACGCGGGGGGGAGGGAGGTCTAAAACCTCTAAAAATAGGTCTACGTAGTTTATAAACAGCCCCTAAGTATATGCGATACAAATGATTATACCTTTTTTAGGCATCTCACTACTCGGCGAAATGACCTTATCAAGTTAAATGACAACGAAAAGACGCAAGGTGACACTACTGGCAAAATGTGATCTTCTCACCATACGACATACTCAAACTACATGGATTTGATGTGAACGAACAGTTTTCAACCAACGTTGACAACTTTCTGGATCACGAACGGCAGTTAATCTCAAGCAACCGAGTACTGCAAAATCTTCCCTACTTAATGAAACTGGCATGTTCTCTCTCCTGCGACGGAAAAGGATGTACTTAATGCACGACATGTCATACTGATGTGTGATCTATTTACTAATTCAGTAGCAAAGTCAACAGAACCAGAAGAAGCAACTTAGTGCGATGGGGAGATAGTCTTTACTCGTCTGCCTTTGTGTATCTGACAGGCCTATTAAACCGGAGCAGCATCCGTCGGATGAATGGAGTTCAAAGAATATTGACTGTATAGACGAACGTGCCGTTTGCCACTTCCGCAGCTGTGCACAGGGTTGTGGATCCATACGGGCACCTTGGTAAGACGTCTGTTTGCTAAGAAGCACTAGGGAAATAGGTTCTATCACGTTTTTGTTTACGTAAGTCGCAAAACGAGATAGAAGAGATGGAGAAACGAATTTCATTAGGTTGGGAATGAGATTCGAAAAAAAAAGGTTTTCCTCCAGAACTGACACAAGCAGATTGGTTCTTCCCAGTGCGGCGAAATTTTTGTTTTGATAGGGGAAGCGGAACCACACTGTTCACGCCATGTTGAAGTTGGTTAGCAGAAAAAGTAGGGTAGAGCACTACTTCGGCCTGATCGCCCATTTTGGGCCTATCGAGCAGAAAACATCGAATAAATCCATTGTTTCAGAGTTAACAAGTCAATTATGCGTTTGGTACGATACTTTAGTTCAAAAGCTACCGAACTAAGTCAATGAGCGTTTGAGTGGCGTTTCAATGCATTAGGCCTAATTTAAAATCCGTAGGCCGAGTTTGGGGTCAAGAAGCAGTGTTAGATTTTTAACAATATCTCAACAACTTGTTTCTCTTCAAATCTTACGGTACGTACGGAAAGGTAAATAAATTTAGACGGCATCTGAAGTGAAAACATTCCATTTTGTGAAAAAATCCAATCGAAAAATAGAGGCGGGTTTTGCTTAGTAGGCCCAAAATTAGCTCTAAGCCCTATCACATCAACATCTTGAGCTAGTAAAATCTACTTTCCTACAAGACGTGCCATGCTTTTGGCTTTTCACAACAAATAAACACAGTGCTTCCTAGCAGACCAAGCAAATCGAACAGTCTCGAATGAAAGGCTATATCTAGTTCATCGCAGGATCGTGCTTGCAAAGGCTTCATTGGAAGGTTGATTAGAGCTACACATTTAAATAAACTTAAATCTTGAAAGACTCTGAAACTCATCAAACGACGCAATGGAAAGAAAATTGAAATCAAAAGAATAGCCAACAGTTGGAAGTAATCATACCTCATTTCCGTCGAACACTTTCGACACCAGCTCCCCGGTTTGTTTATCCAGTAGAAAAAGCGAACAGCGTTCTGCAACGGTAAGTTCTTTGGCTTCTGTCATCACGCCTCGCAGCAGTTGGCCCAAATCACCTGGAATGATAAAAACAAACCGACAGTGTTAATTAGAAATTCTATGCAAATCATATCCAAACAGTGTCACTGTGTAACAAAGTTCGTGTGAAACAATGACAGTTACAATTACTGGAAACTGTAATATTATGCACCGACGGGCAAGTTTGAAGCTGCAATATTTGCACACACGCTGTTTGCACATTGTTGCTTATTTTACCAGTTTTTGCTGAGGTGAAAACCTATGAAACGGGGAAAATGTTTTCTATACTTCTTTGTTGTGACATGTGCTATGAAATCAACGAACGGGATGAAATGTGCATTCTGTGGAACTGCAAAAGCATTCAATGTGTGCCTTACTGAAGGCAAATATGTATTATATGCGAACATCGCGCATGAATGTCTTTGAAAATTTTGTTTTCAAAATGTTACGTATGGTTCAAGCTTATCTATACCTGTCACACGTTTCAAAAGCACAGCGCGCAAATGGATATGCAGTGAATCAGTGAGGTCGTTCAAATTGCAAAAATATTCGAAAATATGAAAGCTTACACTACTCTGCTTTACTGTGGAAGTGAAAAGTGATTTTTTCGAGAATTTTTTTTATTTTGGGTGAGGACAGTATTGCATGTGTTAAGTCCTGCTTTCTGGACTCATGACCGTGATATCTTTCACTGTCCACGACACGTCGCGTTTGATGGTTGAAATGTAATTTATTTATTCTATTTCATATTTTTGATACAGAGTCTTAGTTGGAGACACTTGATGCATCAAGAGTATATAAACTGCTATTTACTCGGACACTGCTAGTGATCAGTGTCCAGTCCATGCTAAAAATGGAAAGGAAGAGTATCCGAAAGCCATGACTGTACACATGGTAACAGCATGTCTCAAGAGTTTGTCATACGAAACCTTTATTTGTCGTCATAAATACTTAGTAGGCTTGAACAAGCATTGAACTGAAGGTTCGATGCCAGGTGTTATTTAGCTATGCAGCATATTCCCACAAGTGTGGTCTGCGAAAAGTGCATGATGAAAAAATAGCAATAACATGTGTTATGGACATGTCACGCATGAACCCGACGATATAACATTTTTATGTTGCATAATTATAGCAGATACACTGAATATTATATGAGTTATCTGACTTGCAGGTTGTATTTTATCTGTAAATTGAAATTCAATTTGATTGTTTCATAGTGACATACTTTAAACTCACAACAGAACGGATCTATTCTCGTTAACACCAGGTATAGATCACCACAACATTTTGACGTAGGACTACGTCTATGATTTCTATATGGGGGTACACTTTGTGAAAACCGAAAATGGAACATGTAACAAATTAAGAAAGATTTTGAACGTTAATAACTCAGCTGCCCCCGGTCAAATTTCAATAATTTTATCACCAATCGATCAGAAATATGGCTACACATCGATAACAATGCTTCCGAATGTAGATTTTCAACAAGAAACTATTGAAAAACTGGTAAATGTCCAGCATTGTCCAAAAGCGTCGAATTAACTAACAAATCCACCAATTACCTACATGCATATGCTGCTTCCCCAGCACAGTCGTCAGAGAGTAGTAATTAGACGAAACAAGTCGAAGTGGCATTCGCCTCCGATTCTCGGGCACGTGCGAATAGGGATGATGGAATTGCGTAATATTTTGCACACTCATCGCCAGAACCACACGCTCCCCGACCACACCACTGTATGGTGGTGGTCGATCGTCGAAATTAGTAGCAGCAGTAGCAGCAGTAGCAGTGCTTTCGGCATGTGGCGTTGAAAATTGTTCTCCAGTAACAACGAAAGGCTGCCTGCAAGCAGCGAGCTGCAGAGCCCACATAAACAACCATCAAAGGAGGAAGAAGCTGCACCGCTATGCTATGGATCGGAATCAGTAGCTCTTCGTGAGTCGCTGCGGGTCGGTCATCTATGCCAAGCGTGTCACCCTCGCTCCAAACGACATACAGCCTTATCCGTGTTTAACACCCAGCTCAGAATTACTCAACCATCACTACAAAACGGTCCTTTTCAGAACCAGCATAAATTTGTTAAGAGTGAAGAGCTTTGAGTGGGTTGGTATATTTCCTTTTAATTCCGTTATAATTGCTTATCTTTTGACAGATACGCGTATTTCGTCTACTACTTGCAGACTTCATCAGTGCCAAGTACTCAACACCAGAGTGGTGTTGAGTACTTGGCACTGATGAAGTCTGCAAGTAGTAGACGAAATACGCGTATCTGTCAAAAGATAAGCAATTATAACGGAATTAAAAGGAAATATACCAACCCACTCAAAGCTCTTCATAAAGGGATTCCGTTAAGAGGTTCGACAAATTTAAAGGATTGTTAAGAGTATTATTTGGACATTTGTCAAGGTCATCAGTTCCCGCAAGCAGCTAGCTATCAAGGTTCAACCTGGTCTCTATAGAAGGTGTGGAATTGTAGGCCCGAATGCATTGGTGAGATTAATCATCGTCCGATCATTTTCCACAACACGCTGGTAGGAAGTGTTAAATAACCATATAAAATTTGAGAGAAGTGGGAATAATTCGCTTTGGGTGTATATTCAGTCCCCGCCCCATTCATATAATTCGAAACGAAATCCTGTGAGGGGTGAATTGAATACACTTTAATACCAAAATGCACAAAACTTAAAAATTCATAAATAACAAAAAAAAATCAAAATACACCTTTTAAAGTCGGGTAGATGAATCGAAAATACTCAAGTTGACAGTCCCTTGGATTCTCTTCATCAACTTTCTCTTTGAAATAAATACTTCAAATTTGATACGATTACAAATAAAAAACGGAAAGAGTTAAGATAATTGATGATTGATCAATTAAAAGAACTAAATGTTCACATTTGTTCCGTCCACTAGCGGTCCTACGTCGAGCTTCCGTTCGTGCCCCTAGGCACAGACCCTTCTACTTTTTTTTACTAGCGACATCTTTTGCGAAAATCTACCATGTTTTTTTTTTTATTAATTGTTGTAATTGTAAAAACATAATAGTTTAGTGTTTTATTACATAAAGTTGGTTTCCAAGAAAAATTTAAGTGAATTCAAATTAACATTTTTTTTTGTTTGACTAGTTAATAAAATATTTTTGCTACATTGGGTAAGTTCCGGCTTCACCATCCGGTCAAACGTGAACCGATGAATCGTCCTTAGTATTTGTTGTGAGAAATTCCAAGCTGTGGCTACTCGAGGGCATGTTGAAAATTTGTGTTGCAAGTCTTCGATACTTGGGAATCCGCGCCATTAATTCTGTATAGAAGCATTTGGTGAGGTAGTTTGTTGTTCACTAACAAGAATAACCAACTCTTCTCGTTTGATCACAGCTTCATTGAAGCAATGTTCCTCCAAATGGAACTCCATTGAAGTCCTTGATGATCGCGAGCTATCTTAGGCGTTTCAACTTGGCGCAGTAGGATAGGATGTTGTTGGATTGGTGCGGCATTCAAATTTGTTCGAAATTGTTGATCCAGATATGCATACTCTTGACACGTCACTTTCAAACAAGACAGGTTATTCGGAATCGCCGATAAGCAAGGTGGATTCTGCGTTTGCTCTACATACGATCTTTAGAAAGGTACTTAATCAAGTTCTTTTAGGTGTCGGTGAACGAGAAGGGCCTTACTTTTGAAAAACGGGATCTGCAGGTTAAGACCTCCTTGTCTCACAGCCCTTTCGATTGCAAAGGATGGAGAAAGATGAGCATTGATGAAAACCCAAGAGTTTGGACACAGAGCAATCAATTCAGGAAGAGATCCGATGTTACACATTGTGATGTACAAAAATGATGGGGCCACTCGATCAAACGCGTGGTCCATATAATATAAACGTCGAAAAAGGGTAGAAAATATTTTTGACCGTCTTTATTCATATTCGTGCCACTGTGCGACGTGCCAGGAAAGCAGCTCCCACACCTGGACCCTACACCTATCGACCCATCAACTCATGAACCGGGGACCAACGGCTTTGCTTCCCATCCGAAGGAAGGCGTGATCAGAGATGTTATGCCTCAGAACATCCCGGCGGCGCCGACTGGGATTGAACCCAGGCCTGCTGGGGTGAAAGGTAATCACGCTTACCACGTCACCACCGGCGCCGTTATAATATGAGTTTAACACAACGTTTCTGTTTCGTGAGTTGAGCAATTTTGTTCTTAATTGAGAGAACGGCTTGATAGATGTTGTTCTCAGAATTTGAACTTTTTTGAGAGAACATTGTGATTTCTCATAACGCTGTCCATTCAACTTTTGATTGTTTGTGCCAGGAGTATTTAGTCGTATTTCAGCAATGATATCGAACGATATCTACGGATGGTGGTTTGTGTTATTTTTCTTTTTTTACTAGGACAATAACACCAGCAACGAAGGCTGCGGGAATGTTTCCTCGTTTAGCTTCGTTTAGGAGTAAGCTGAGCTCCCTGTGATCATACACATCAAAAGCTCTGAGATAGAGTTTCTTTGGGATTCCATCCTGGCCTGGTGACTTGTGTGAAGCACTTCCTTTGATATATTTCAGTTGTAGTGATGTCGCTCATGCTATCTGTGTTGCATTCGCTATCCGGTGGCATAACTGTATTGCAAGAAAAGTTGTGTACAGCATCCCGCTCTTCTCCCGAGTACAACTCTCTGAAGAAATTCACAGCGTGATTTTGGATGTCTTCGGGGTTGTTGATGGTAAGGTTTTCTTCGATTTTGAAACGATCGATTACTGCTCTTTTTTTTCGTCTTTTTCCTAGTTGGTATACATAGAGTGGTTCACCTTCCACTCAGGTGTCGTTAATGTGGAAGAAGCTCTCCGAAAGTCGTTTTTGAGAAGAATTCTTGAGACTTCCATCTTCAAAAGACTTGATCCTTCCTTTAACATACATAATCCACCAGTCCATCCACGAAGTCTTGTACCGTCGTTGTCTCGTCCAATAGGTCCATTTTTTTAAGGAAATCATTCATGTTTTATTCGATCCAACATCCACGGCCATGCTCTTTACCAAGGCTGGGA